TCGACTACTGTATTTCGAAAAACTGGGCCGACTCTCCTTCTGTCCTTAGGTTGAATCACATGGCGGCGTATTGCCATGTGTGGTTCATGAGTTGTACCTATGCCGGCGGGTTTTTATCGTCGTGAAACTACTTCGGAGGCTACTTTTATGTAGGGAATGGCCCTTCAGACTTCTGGTTGCTGTTCCTTTAGCCATCATCTGTTCACTTGACGCTTGCTTTGTTTGTTTGGTATCGATTAGCTCGGAAGAGGTCATAAAAGTATTGTTGTTGAACTCTTCTGCTAGCTGGTGTGCTACAGTGGGTTTCAACTCTTTTTAAAAGAGTACTGATGCAGCTATGCCAACAACCATACGAGGGTCGAGGCAGCGAACGATCGATCAACCAAAGACCGAACAGTTCAGGCAGACATTCAAATCGCTGATCGATAGCGGCAGTCAACGCCTTGACAAGGGCGTGACGGTCTAGCTCTCCGAAACGCCAGCAAACGAGCAAAACCCGTTCTGGTGATCAATATTGTGGTCTTAGATTCCTATTCCTGAACTCTCATGTTTGCGAATTTTAACTTGTCAGTTGCTCTCCACCACTTTCTGGAATCAGCCAAAGACAGTCTTATGTTACTGACTCAACCACACTTTCCTTTTCCACCGAAGCGCCAGTGCTCAATTCCCAAACACCTTAACACTACTACTTGTCTTGTCTTGTCATGCTGAGTGCGCTACGACTGGTTAGTTTGCTTATTTAAATCTAAGGTTCTTTAGCAGGCCCTAACCTTCTTTCTTGATTTTGTCTCTTTCTGTGCCCATAGCTCGTCTACGAGTTTTTCCTTCGATTTGTTGAATCACCGGAATTCCAACCCAACCTTGCCAAGCGGTACATTGATCAACGGTTTGTCCTTCAGGTAGATTCTCTTTGCATTTTCTGAACAAAATTTATGTTTTCACATGCTCTCGAGGTCTCTCACCTACACGCCATACGCTTCCTAGAAAAAATTAAAGTAACCGGACATGTCTGTGACGTGAATAGGGCTCCTTCCGAGTAATGCCGGTGGCCAGTGCCAGCGAACATGCGAGTCCGAGGAAGTAACTGATAAGACGACGACTCGATCGCTTGGGCAATACTTTTATTCGCCTGACGTTTCGACATCCGTCG